GAGAGTCCAGCAGACAGCAACAAAAATGGTGAGGGGGCTGAAGCCCATGACTTATGAGGAAAAGCTGAGTGAAACAGGTTTATTTGGTTTGGAGAAGAGAAAAGTGAGAGGGGATTTGATAGCAGCCTTTAAATACCTCAAGAGTGATTGCAAAGAGGATGGCTGTTTCAGTGGTGGAAGATGGCAGAACAAGGAGCAATTGTCTCAAGCTGCAGCAAGGAGGTTAAAGTTGGATATAGGAAAAACTTTCTCATTAGGAGGGTGGTAAAGCACTAGAACAGATTACCTAGACAGGTGGTGGAATCTCCATCCTTGGAGGTTTTTAAGGCCTTGCTTGACAAAGCCCTGGCTGGAATGATCTGGTTGGGGATAGTCCTGCTTTGAGCAGGAGGTTGGACTAGATGACTTCCTGAGGTCCCTTCCAACCCTAATTTACTATTATTATATGTTTCTATGATTCTACTCTATTCTCTAGTTCAGTAGTGCTCGACCTCTAGCCCACAGGTCAGATTTGACCCACAGAAACATGTCAACTGGCTTGTCAGGTTCCCACAGGTCCATAAATGTGGCCATGGGGGAGTGGTAGCAGTGTTAACTATTCTCTGTGCTGAAGCAGTTAATACTGCCACCAATCCCCTGCTGCCAAATGTCTACCAGATGCTATGTCCCCGTAGCAACAAGTTACAGAGACTTAGCTTGTCGCTATGGTGACATAGCATCAGCAGGCATGAACTGTGACACCGATGCTACTGCACTGGAGCTCATTGCTGCACCGTAGGGTCAGAAATGACCCAGGAGCCTCCAGGACTGTGCAGTAACAACTGCTTAGTCAGGTGCACGTGTAGATGTGCCCAGTGATCTCGTCCTCATCTATCTATGGTGTTTAACACTTACTTATCATTTATTACTGGAGATATTGATGAATTATTTTCTATGTGTACAATTGGCATTTGCTTGCTTCTTTTTTCAAAGCAATTGCATTTATGGTTAAAACTTTACATTTATCTAAATGCTGTACACTGTCTATATATAGACTCACTTCCATACTATCTGAGCTCTTTGTCTCTTGTAAGGTTTCCATAGGCTTTCTTTCTCTTCTTGTTTTTTCTCAAACAACTTTCCTCTCAGACCCATCTTACTTATGCCTGTGTGGGACAGTCTCATGGTTCTTGAAGCTTCTTCAAATGTACAACCTTCCCTTAACTGATGCGTCACTTTCTCAATTTGTGTGACTTTTTTCTAGAATCACTTACAATCTCTGTATAACCCCTCTTGTCCTTTTTCATTGCTGTAGTCCACTGTCAGTAATTTTCTAATGATGGAAATTCTAAAATACTAAAAATTTGGGATAGCAACATGATCTTGAAAACCTCCTTATAGTTTTTATTTTTGTGTAGAAGAGGCATCTTTTGTAGTTTTCTTCTCCCCCACTTTTTTCTGGGTACAATAAGGCTTGAACTGTGCTAGGTTTCTCTAAAAAGTCAGCAAGGTTGCCATGTGGAAAGCTAGAAGCTATTATGGGCCTCTTTACCAGCTACAGTTAATAATGAGGCTATGTTCCTAACACCATTTACTGTGTCTGCATCCCTTTAGTCATATACAAGAATCTTGTTTAAAATGACTCCACAATGTCTCCAAACTATAATTCTCCTGGTGCTTTTCTATTGTCAGTCCTTACTGGATATGTATGTGTAGGTCATATGTTCCCATAGAACTGTGAATGTTACTCTTGGGTCCTCTCAAATCTATCCACTCCTGGTCCCATGTGGAGTGGTTATATCCAAACATTAAAATATATTTTTTAGTCATTACAGTACAATAAGAGTATGCTTTAAACTGTAGTGTATTACATTCTTTTCAGCTCCTGGAGACCTCATCCTATGCTCCAAAATGGAGGATGACATTTAGCCACATAATATCTGCTTATGTAAGGGTACCTACAGCCTACACAAATTATGCCTTCAGTGACACTCCTGAAACCCTCCTCATGTATAGGCTCATGCAAGTTTAAGCCACATGACATACGTCAGGGCTACAAACATACACACACACAAAAGAATGTAATGCAGTTCCTTATCTTAAGCTGTGTTGGTTCTTCACTTGTAGATGGGAGGGAAAGCAGTAGAACTTTATTTGGTAATAGAAGAAAGGAACTACATAAAACACTATGGGCAGCACTATGGGTGTGTCTACATGAATGGAACAAACCTACTGTGTAAGATGATGACAGAATTGATATTCTCTTGGAAATCCTGACATTTGAAATTTGTTTCCAAAACATGTAAGAATAGAATGGAAATTCCGAAAGAAGAATCTCATTAAAACATCAACTTGTTTTCCTTAAATAATAATGAAACTAATATGCAATATACTATTTTGACCATATTAACATAGTAAAATAATATGTTATCATTAGATAAATTGTATTGGTGTTATCAAAATAAAATGAGACAATCAAAGCAAAATATTTTAATTTTCTCTTGTCAAAAATGTTAGTGAACTGAATATGTTCCTGCAAACATTTCAGCTTCATGTAAACTGCATTTTCCAAGACGGAAGTGCTCTGTCAATTTTTTGGTCAGTTATGGTCATTTTCTCAAGTTCAAATGCAGATTACACTTTAACAGTCTCATATATCCTAAGACTGTCAGATCAACAAGAGGATATAGTCCAAACAGTCCAGAAACAGTATAGCCAAGATATTAATATGCTCTAGCACCATCTAGCTTATTTTCAACATAAATCATATTTGGGTAAATGTATGCTATTCTCTGCAACTTCAAAAGGTTGCTTTTTCTGGTGTTAAATGACACAGGCATCATAATATTTAATGCCTCTATTAATAATATTTGTATTGACTTGAAATCTTGCTGCCAAACTGAACCTTTGTGGATTGAGAGTGTGACTCCTGTGAGGTCAAAAGGCTTATAAAAGGTGGAAATTGGATCAGTTTGTCAAAATTGTGGCTTACTAAAAGAATAAATATAAAGGATGCTTATTTTATACTCTTTCTATACTTAATTTGCAATATTTTGTATTGTGTATTATATTGTGCATAGAGTATCTATTATGCTGTATAAAAATAAAACAAAAAGATTAGAACATATAGCTGCCTATATAAGACTGTAATCCTGAAAATATTCTCTTTAATGCTTATCTTTGTTTCTGCAGTAAAACCCTTTGACTTGAATGAGACTAGTCACAACAGTAAAATTAAACATGCAAATAAACATAGGATCAGGGCCTAAATCTGTTCACTTAGGCCAGGTACAGACATTACACTTTTACTGGTACGAGTGATTGGAAACCAGTCTATATCTGTAACAGAAGTTAGGCACACATAGACTGGTTTAGAAATGGTGGAACGCAGTCTAAGATAGGCAACCTGCATGCCTCCGCCTCCACACCAAGGTGCGTTCTGTTTGCTACCAATCTAAACTCTGTTCTTTACAGAAAACTGCATAACTTAGTTCAATTCCGCTTCAGCCTTATTGAATTACTGTTCTGAGCCTTGACAATTTAAGGATAAAAAAGTTTTTTGTAGACCATGATATATCTATATTCATGTTTCTGGCCACAGATATGAGAATAGATGTTTGTCAGAAAACTTATTTCTGTCCAGCAACCTAAAGAAACAAAGCAACAGAAGTAGCAACAGGCTCCATAACTGTGCTTCACCCAATGCAAGGAAACCTGCATTTCCTGTGGTAATAGGAATCCAAGTTATTGTGGTCGTTTTTTTTTCTCTTTTGTGACTTGATTTTCAGTATATTTTGAGATTCCTGTTGACATTTTGCTTTTGTTTGAGTTTAATTTCAACTGATTGTGAGACTTCAGTGGGATTCAGAACAGAAGCAAACCTTTTTTTGTGAAGTAAGCCAATACAGGTATATTTTTTACTTCCAAAAAATGGTGCTCCAAAAAGTCAATGAACATATGAAACAATGAAAATACGCTCTGGATTCTTCCCCTAAGTTGACTGTGGTAGCATTCAGCACATTAGATCAACTATAGCACATTATATTTCAAAACTTCTTAATATATTCCACAGCTCCCCTAGATATTGCATTGCATAGGTATCCATCATTATTCTGAAACTTCAGAAACCAGAAAAGTCAATGCTAGAATTAAGCGGTTCAGAGGAGGATTAGGCAAATCCTGGCAGAACATGTCCATCAGTGGATATTGAACATGATAGCTATGTCTCTGACCTCCAAATTAAAACTTCCCGGGCCTCTAAATGTTCCCAGCTATAAGGGAAAGGGGAAATGGGACATGTCAGTCTGGCTAGCCCTGCATAAACTCTCCTGCTGAGCATCCACTTTGTGCCACTGTGAAATACAGAATATTGGGGTACGTAGACCTGTGGTATAACTTAGTATAACCTATGGGCGTGTCTACATGAGATGCTTTAATGCACATGAGCCTAAGTGAATTAAAGGCATGGGTCTACATGTGCACACCCTTTACGTGCATTAATTTAGGCATGATTAGTTAAAGCGCATTGACGCACACGTAGACGTGACCCAGCAGTAACTTTTGTGCTAGGTCTGCCCAGCAGTAGGGCTCCTGGCTGGCCTCCTCTTCTGGCTTCAATTTGGGATTAAAGTTACTCCCAAGTGCCAGCAGCTATGTGGTCAGAGGCCAGAGCTCCCCCCAGTAGCCACAGGGACTGGAGAGACTTGGGACTAACTTTAGTGCGAAGTCCCTGAGGGTGTAGACCCCTGCCGAAAATCACTGCTTAATACACATTAAATTTTGTCATGCTTATTTGCATTTGTAGCTGTGCCCTATCAGGACCTGGTCAGTAATGTTTCTTCATTTGTTATCTACTGTTCAAAGTAATTGTAGTTTTATATATAGATACCACACTCAGAAACACCCTGAAAACTACAATAATATATTTTCTTCTTTACTCTACCTCCATATATGGCCGGTGTTATACATTATTATGGTTAAATCATGTGTCTTAGAATATTTTTTCTCTTTAAATCTTCCAGAATAATATTATTACATGAGATCTCTGCTGCTTTATATATTTTACCAAAGAATGTTTGAAAATGTGATGCTTTACAGTCAACACAAACAGGGTAAGCAAAAAGACCGAAATTCTACTATTTTAAAAATCCCATGATTTTTTAACCCGTGATTTTGTAAACCTTATTTGACTTCTCTTTTAAGCATTTAGGGTGGGTAGTACAGTAACTCATGTTGTCTGCATCCTCATATGCAGAATCATATAAGGTATCTGATAAAGATGTGTGAATGAAATTGTTGTGGAAACACTCCATTAAATGAAAGATTCTTGCCTAGATAACATAGTAAACAAAATGTTCAAAAATACTGGTACATATTTTTGAGGGTTTCTCTTATTTATTTTTTTTTTATTTTGTTTTAATTAAAATATTTTTAAAATCCAGTTTTACAACTGCTTACACCACAAAATATAAACAATATTTGAACCATATAAAATTATTTTTTTCAATTAAAAATATCATCATACTTCATTATCTGAGAACTTTAGCCCAGTTCTAATAATGATGTGTGTCTTGAAATCCTTTCAGGGGTGCCATGGGGTACCATACAGAGTTAGCACAATTAGGTGTAATAAACACAAAGATTTCAAATAGGAATTCATAGTATTATCAACATTCTGTCCTGTTGCAGTCCTTATGAGTTCTTTGCAACAGAAGAATTGCTGTATTATTTTCCTGCAGTCAAAAAATGAGTGAAAACTAAGAGCTGGCATTTTCCAAGAGCTGGTGCCTTGAGTCTAAAAAGACTGAGATATATATCTGAATAACTCAGATCTGAATCTGGCCCACAAATGTTATGCTGTGCTATTGTCCTTAAAAAAACAAAACCAACATTTAAGCCAACTCCACTTACCTCTGGAAAGTTTAATGTAAATTATTTAACATGTGCAATGCATGCATTCATAGGACTCTTTTCTTTCGCTCTCTTCTTATCCTAAGCAGATAAATAGCTGCAGTCTAAAAAGAGAGAGAAAAAGAGAATCTTATTACTGCCAGTGTATAAACCCTCCCCATTTGTAACACTGTCTTTGCCTTTATAGTTTATTTTTACATTCCCAAATTTCCTGAATACTATATCTTCTTTCTATAGATTCCCCCATGCATCCACTTCTCTTAGGTAAGTTGACTACTACACTTCTGCTTCTGACCACCAGTTGTGATTCATTGATAGGTATTGTAGGAAGTCTAAAGCTGAAAAAACTCAAAAATGTTCAGCTGACAGTACTCTACTACACTGCAGCAATAAGGTACCTTCTAGTTTTCTCCATTTAATTCATTTTTAACTAATATATTGTGTAACAGAACAATTCTATCTTATTCTCTGGGAACTCATTCTCTTTCC